TAAGAGCCCTACTGGTTTTTTTTTTTTTTTGGGGGGGGGGGGTACTCCAAAATTTGGAAATTCAGTTTGTTTTAGTACTATGGGCCTACCTGTATAGAATGGAGAAAAAATAGTATTAAATATCTTTTACTATACCTCTTCAGAAGTCTATAAGGCATCTTTATGATCAAAACAATGCAAAAAGGTTTTATGGTGCAATATCTAAGTACCTGCTGAAAGGAGAATTAAAGGAACAGATTCTGCTCTCTCATTCACTGGGGGAAATTAGGAGTAGCTCCTCATGAATCTCAAAAATTCATGAGCTTTCAGACATTAAAAATGTCACTCATCCAACAGTGAGTTGAACGCATCCTAGAACTGGTAAGACTCAACCAATATATTTCCTCAATATAGGAAAAAATAAAAAAACCCATTTCTGCTGCAGGAAGGTCCTAAGCATGCTTTGCCATAAGTCTGCAAGAAGGGACAGTGCATTTGGTGTTGCCACATGTGGTGATTATGACTTAGTTCCCCTGCTTTTCCAGGGAGAAAGCAAGCTATACTATGTCTTTATAAAATACAGCATGTTTTCTTCAACCTTCTTCACATCACCTCCCTTTGCAATGGGGCTTTACAATACTGTAAATACCTTTGCAGCTACTATATTGCTACGATGCATTAACAAATATCAAGTGGTTTTTAATTTTATTCTGAGGAATGCAACTCAACGATTCTGGTACAACAGATATTACTGTCCTCAAGATGTTAAAACAATGACACTTCAAAGCACCTTTTGCTTTCTCAAAAATCAGATGCCCAAGTTTGACTAGAGCTGGTAAAACATAGGACAAACTTCAGACCTGCAAACCATTGGCAGTGTCTATACGCATTCACAAAGAGAGGATGGAGGAAAAACATTGCCTGAAATGTGAGCCCCTGAAAAGTCAAACACCACAACATGGGAAGCAAGGAGGAGCCGTGTTCAGCTCATACAGAGCCAGAGGCAGCTAATAAAGAAAAAGTCTTGCTCGGACCAGTGATTTCTATTTTTAAAGCAGCAATTGTTTCCATGTCACGGCACTAGTGTAGCCTGGGCTTTCAGTAGATGTGCCAGTGACTGAAACTGTTCCTTTGGTAAATATTGAATGATAAATCTCAGACAGAAAACAACCCTTGCTGTGATGGATTTTTTTAAAAGAATGCTGGAATTAAAAATGCCCGGGTCCATAAATACAGCGCTATCAAAAACTAAAGGTGATGGGATGAAAAATATGAAAAATAATTTCCAGGTTGGCTTTTTGATAGTACCACGGCATTACAGGTTGGGTTTAATCACTATTCTTCCTTCAATATAGTTGTAAGAAATAGTTAAGTGCCTTAAGGCAACCAGATGGTTGACACAATAGTGGCCTTCATCCCAAAAGCGGCACGTGTCTCTGCCCAGGACACGAAAAGCACATCTTTGTGGAGGTGTTTTGTTGGCTATCAGCTTGTGAAAACTTGTGTATCTGTGAAAGAGCCAGGAGGACCACAGAAGCAGAGAAAGAAAGCAGCAAGGAAGTACTGGACCCAGGCCCAGAAACGCTGTGGGTGGCACACGGATAAAACACAGATGGCACTTTAGGGCTGAGTGTTGGTTGAAAGGGGCTTGATGCTGTGAGTGAAGAAACTCTTCAGCTGTGATCTGGGACACAGGACTTTCATAGATTCATAGATGCTAGGGTCGGAAGGGACCTCAACAGATCACCGAGTCCGACCCCCTGCATAGACGGGAAAGAGTGCTGGGTTCAGATGACCCCAGCCAGATGCCCACCCAAACTCCTCTTGAAGACCCCCTGGGTAGGGGAGAGCACCACCTCCCTTGGGAGCCCATTCCAGACCTTGGCCACTCTAACTGTGAAGAAGTTCCTCCTAATGTCCAGTCTAAATCTGCTAGCTTATGGCCATTATTTCTTTGTATAGTCTTAAATAAACAGGGTTTCCTCAAAGGCACCTTCTTGAGCATTGTTTCTGCATCTAACCTGAATGACCCTTAGGGGACTGAATTTAGGCTAACTGTTTGAGCCTAGAGTTTTCAAGTCTTTAAGGGGAACCCCACCCCCACCTCCAATGCTCAAAGCAAGTGGTTGAATGTGGTGCAAGAGGAGGGATTCTGAGCACAGGAGAAGGAAATCTTCCCCAACTGCACAGCAGCATGAGGTTACTCTTGCTATGCTCCTCTTCCATGGGGGACAACAGTTGTTTGATCTGTATTTTAGTGGATCCACTAGTCCTTATGTTTCATCCAGCTCCAGCACCTCCTCTAGTTTAAGTCATTCAGGTCTGTATTTATAGCAGGTATAGTTTGGTGATATCATGTATTCCCTGCAGTTCCAGGATTAACAAGCTCCCATCAGTATCAATATGACACTCTTAGGGGGGAAAAAAGATGCTGTTCAGGAGGTGCCAAACCACTGCCTTCCAGGATTTCACTTCTGTCGTATGCAATCACGTCCATGTAAATGGTACAGAGTGTACCAACTTGTTCTTGACAGTATCTTTACCAAGTGAAGCAACTGTATCAACATATCTACAGCAGTGATTCTGATTTAAAAAGTCCAGCATTTGGTCTTTGAAACAGATTATATTATTTATAAAGATCCGTGGGTGGAAAGGAAGACGCACAACTCATCCGTCAGGAGAACAAATGAGAAATGTATATTTCCTCCTAGGCATAATGACAGAAACAAAGAGGGATACTGTTTAAGACTAACTGAAGAGGAGAATTCATCCTATTCATATCTAAAGACCTGGATGGGGAACCTTGGTATACTTCATTACGAGATAACGGAAGTATACTCAATCTCACGAACAATGGGGAGTATACTGTAGAAGGCAATTCAGCCTGGACTTTTCTGTTGTGACTGATAAGCTAATAACCACAGGTGTTGCACCCGATTTGGAAACTGAAATAAGGCTGCCCTAACAAAAATGTTTTGAAAAATCTGGACTTCAAGTAAGGTGATTTTGTTTAGTTTATGTTATCTTTTACATTCTCCTGCACACGCAAAAGCCCCTTCCAAAAACCTGTGTGAATTATTGAAAGGATGGAACCTCTGTTTATATGTTATGTACAGTACATATCTTTGGAACCACATAATAAAACCTTCAGTTTGCTCCCTAGGTCCCTTTATTATTTTTCTCTTTTGCCTTGTGAACAGAAGTTAATATACACAGATCCCTCTCTTCCTCTGTCTCAGCAGCGTGATTTGTTCACTTCTCTTAACAGGCTCTTGTGTTCCGGCCTCTGCTTTCTGTCCCAAGTAGAGTAATTAGTCCACAGGTCATTTGCCCATGATCAGTAGTTGATCAAAAATTCAGTCCACATAACAGTGCAAATCCTGAGTGGTCGATCACTGAGGTGGAAGCTCATCAACAGATTTTTGTCGGGTACATACCTGCCCTTCCACTATCCATTTAGAGGTAGAGGTTTTGCCGTCGTAGCCAGGCCGGAACTGGAGTGTGGCCGAACGAGGACTGATGTTGGAAATCACTAGATTGGATGGGGCTCCAGGAAGTTCTAGAGAAATTGAAATGTACATTAAGGAAGCGTAGAAATACTTTGGGCTTGGAGCACAAATCTACATGGCAGTATCTCGGCAGTTGGTATTGGGTCACCTCAAATTGAGTCAGTGGGTGTGTTCACATGTGATGCTTTAATGTGCATTAGCCTAAATTAACATCTACACGTGCGCGCCCTTAACGTGCATTAAAGACGGCAAATTTAGGTTATTTGCTAGGGCTGTGTGAAGCTTCGGAAGGTGATTCAATTTGGAGGAGATTCGGCCCCATTCAGTGACTGAATCTCTGAATCTGCATCAAACTGGGGGATCAATTAAAAGGTCCGAATCAATTCAAAGCTCTTTGAATCTTCAGAAAAGATTCAGGGAGCTTCGGTGATTCGGGCAGTCCCCGGTGGCTGCAGCAGGGAGCTGCAGCTGACTCCGACCTGGTAAGCAGGGGGCGGGAGAGGTGGGGCTGGGGGAGGGGACCATAGGGGAACCCCTGCCAGCCCTCATCCCCTGCCAGCCCCCATGCCCTGCTTGCTGCCCCAACCCCTGCCTATGGCTGCCCCACCTGCCCCAGCTCCCGGTGCTTTAAAAAAAAAGCCCCAACTCACCGGGTGCTGCCAGGTGCGGGGGAGGACCCCCACTGCCCCCCCACCATGTGGGGGGCTCTGCGTGAGCCCCCCACCACGTCCCCCCAACTGTCCCAGCCTCCCATGGCTGCCCCACCCGCCCCAGCTCTGGCCCTTTAAGAAAAAAAACAAAACAGGAAAAGCCCTGGGACTTACTGCTCCTGCTGTGGCCTCAGTGCTTTGGGGGGCTCATGCAGAGCCCCCCTATGGGGTGGGGCAGTGGGGATGGCCCCCCACCAGCAGGAACGGTGAGTCCAGGGTTTTTTCTCAGGGGTTTTTTTCCTTAAAGGGCCAGAATCTCGGTGGGCAGGGCAGCCATGAGTGGGGCTGATGGAGCAGGGGTGGGTGTTGGAGGGCTCGTGCAGAGTGGGGCAGCAGGGACTGCCCCCTACCTGGCAGCACCTGCTGAGTTGGGCCTTTTCTCTTCCAAAGTGCCAGGAGCTGGGGTGGGTGGGGCAGCCATCACTGGGCTGGGAGAGTGGTGGGGGTGGGCCTGGCCTGGGCAATTAGGAGATTTGGCAGGAGCTGAATTTCCAAATCAAATTCGGCTGGATCGATTTGGGGCAGTGATTTGAATCACCGAATCGAATCACTGTCCCTTGAATCGGCCAAATCCGAATCCAAAGTGAACACTAGTTGCTTTGCACAGGCCTACTATTCTCATCTAAATTTGACACTTGCAAATGCAGGTATCAAATTTCAGTGCTAAAGTGTATTAATGAACATGTAGATGTGCTAAAGCACATTAGTGCTGTGTGTGTCAACTGACTTGGGACTAACTTTAGTCCCAAGTCAGTCCATACACAGCATTAATGCACTTTAACACCTTCATGTGTAGACAGAAGCCTGCCTAAACCCACTTACTTAGCATTACGCTAATGCGCATTGAATTTAGGCATGCTTAAATGCATCTGTAGGCATGCCCAGTATCCTTTTCCCCATAGACAAACACAGTTAAATATGGGGCTTTTATTTATTCTGCAATATATACATGCACAGTATTGTCTGCAGAAGAGATAGAAAAGATGGGTCCCTGCTTCGAGCATCTCATTTAGAATCACAACAAGCAGTTCACATATGATCAAGAGGCGCAGCTTGATGCTTACAGTCAGGAAACCAGGTTGCCCTTTCCAGTTAGTGCAGGGCTGTCAAACTCATTTGGCCCTGGTGAGTGGCCCAGGACTGATCCATGGGTTGGAAAAATGGCATGAAGTCAGTTCATGGGCCACACTGGGCCTCTGGGCCCCCTTCCCCGCCAAGTTCTGGATCCAGCCCTGCGTACCTGCTCTGGCTGGATCAGGACTTGAGCCACGTGCAGCACTTGCTCCAGCCAATGCAGGGTGGACACAACATGCAGTGTGGGTTCCAGACTGGCTGGACTGAGTGCCACATGCAGTGCAGTCACGAGCTGGCTAGAGCGGGTGCTGGATCTGGCATGTGGGGAACCCACAAAGCCTGCTCCCCCACATGCCAGATCCAGCGCTTGCTCTGGCTGGTCCAGGACTGCACTGCATCCAATGCTCAGTCCAGGCCCTATGCTGCATATGATGTCCACCTGGACTGACTGAAGGGAGTGCTATGTGCAACTTTTATCCCAGACCAAGCAGAGTGGGCACCACATGTGCACAGTCCTGGACTGGCCAGAGTGGGTACTGCAGGCACTGGGTCTGGCACATGGCTGGGTGGGGAGGGGCAACATGTCTCAGATTAGCCCCACGTGGGGCCAGCACTGGAGCCTGGATGACTGACACCCCCATGCTACTGACTTACTATGTTACTTTAAGCAAGGTCTATCTGCGCATCTGTTAGCTTATTTGTGAAGAGGGGACAATATTTACCTACCTACAGTGTACGGAGATTGAATACATTAATGAAAGGAAAAGACAGATGCTGGGAGGGAGGTTCTTGTGATACGATGGCAGCACCAAACCCATTAGCAAATGTTGGTGACTCTAAGGAAAATTCTCAGCAATTTCTGCTGATTCCGCATAGCAATGAGATGTCCTAAATACATATTGGGACATGGGGAGGGGTGTTTTAGACAGGAGAAAGAGGTCTGAGACACAGGATTGCAGGGAAAGTTTAGACTAAGGAGAAAGCTTAGGCTGAGTTTTGTAATGTTTTGCTATCTGGATTATCAAAAACCACATTCCAGGGAGGAAGCTAAATGGATACAGACTGAATTTTGAGCAGCAGAGAAACCCCACCCCACCCGCAGCTAGCAAGCGCAAAGTGCCTGTATTGTAATCAGCACTCATGTAATGCAGCCCCACGTGAGCATGAAGAATTAAAAAGGAGCCTTCTCTAATCTACATGCTTAGGATGCAAGAAAATCTGTTCCTTCATTCCCACATGATGCTCGCAGGCAGGGGCGACCCTAGGGAGGTGCGGGGCCCCTTTAACACCACATGGGGCCTGTGGGACTCCCGCAAAGGCAGGGCATGGGCTGCGGTCTCCCCCGTGCCCAGCGGGGGGGGGGGGTCTCCATGCTCCTTCCATGGCATGGGAAGGAGCCACCAGCACCAGGTGGGTCCCACGGAAGGGGCTGCAGCTGCTCTGCCCGGCTCCATGGGACCCCCCAAAGCGTGGGGCCTGGGACAGTTGCCCCAATTCGCTGTACCCGGAGGACAGCCCTGCTCACAGGAAGCTTGCTCAATAAGCTTGCCAAAATGGGATGTAATCCTTATCCGGCTACGTTCAGGAGTGGCAAGATGGTGCAAGACAGTGATGTTGTCTAATCTGCTGTCCAGTTTACCCTAGAACAGGCAAAGGAGTAAGGCTACTTCGAGAAGTTGTGGATTCGCCATGCTTGGCAGCTTTCAAAAGCAGGTGAGACAGGCACTTGGCTGGGATGGATTAGTCAGGGATGAACCTGCCTTGAACAAGGGGCTGGACTACGCCTCGTGAGGTCCCTTCCAGCCCTATGATCCTATGTACCCAAGAGCACAGGGACCTGACATCCCTGAAGAAGTCTGGAGTACTCTTCATCAGGAACATACCGGTACCTGCTCTGTTGTAGGGAACTGTCTCTTTCGAGCAGCTTTGTTTGGACTGGTTTGAATGCACTTATTGTTACGTATTACAGCTGCCCTCTTCCATGTGTAAGCGGGACAAGGGCGATTTGAAAACGTTTTCAATGAGAATAAAAACACTAACTAAAACAATTAAAAGGACAATTGTTTAAACAGAAAAATAGCAACTATCTGAGGCAAGAAGTCAATATATTAATCGATTGTTTTACAATTCTGCTTGTTTCTTTTGCCCCAGATTTCTTTCCATTTCTCTGTTCAGGTGGAAGCTTCAGTAGTTTTATGGCTCCCAGGGCCATATTTTCTAAGCACCTCTAAGGCAATATAAAATCAATCAGAACGGCTGCATTTCAGACCACCTGTCTTCTTGATGGCTTTCTGTATTTCACTGAAACCTGTCATCTACCCCCCCTTCCCTTTCTAGCTATCTCTGGGATACGGATTTACCGTAAGATCTCTCTCAAACCAACACTTCCCACTTTTTTCCTTCTGAAAAAACATGCTTTTATCTGCATTTTCCAAATACCTTACAGTGCAAGTAAGTTATAATACTTAGAGATGGAAAATCCTCATTTTAAAGGGCACCTCAACCCATTTTTTCCCCAAAAAGTATTTTAATAATGAGCACTGCCACCCTCCAACTCAATCAGTACTCTAAAGTATTTCATTACCTTTTCCTCTCATTCCTCCATCTCTACCATCATTGCCTTTTTTGTGCGTTTCAAGCAGCCTCATATTTGCAGGAATGATTCATTTCAACGAGTATCTGTTGTGCTAATGTTAGAATAACAATACGTTGTATAGAACCTCAGTGCTTAAAAAATAAAAGCCCTGTTGTTAGTGTACCCGAGATCAGTCTTTTTTGAAATGACAGCAGGAGACAAGTTGACATATTTTGCTTTTTCACCGGAGGTTTACCAACCTGGGGGCACTCCAGAGGAGATGGTAGAGGAGGTGACCAGACCAGTCCCTTTGCCTGTCATAGCTGCCACCTCAATCGTGTAGGTGGTTAGAGATGACAGACCAGTAATTTTGTACTCGAGGGTTGTGTTGACCAGTGTGCGAGCAAGACGAGATTCATTCCTGCCGTACACCTCCCAGGAGACCTGGTAGCCTAGAAAACAATTACACACAAGTCAGGGAGCTGTAACAATAGGGTTGCCTGTTTTTCCTCCCTATTTTACCATTATTCAATAATTCAGAGGTTCACTAGAGAGCTGGCTTGGCTTGTCACATATTACTGCCTCAACCCGAGTGTGGGTAACTTTTTAGAGAAGGGAAAAAAGCCACATATTGATATAAGGTCATTTAAAAATACCTAAGAACCTCTCTAATACTATTTTACCCTCTGAGCAGTTCCTGTAGATGCTACTAAGACATCACATGACCATAAAATTGAAAGAGGGAGGGAAAGTGGTGTCCAGGGAAGAGCTTTTCTATCAGTATATAGTGCACACTATGAAAAGGTTTGGGAACCTTGGGAATAATCTCTCTCTCTCTGAAGGGTAGGATGTCAATTTATGAATGCTATAAAATAAATCAGAGGAAACACTGGAAACCATTCTTTGAGCACAAAATGATCTCACCAGCAAGGAGTGAAAAATCTCTACGCCTGGCTGAGCTACTTCCTTTCAAGGCTGAGGCCCCTTTCATTGCCAAGAATCGAGGAATACTTGCAAATCAGATAATAGTGACCTGGCAGGAACACAAGAAATCTCACAGGACCTAAAAGGTCTCTGCTGTCCCTCGCTCTCTGCTCCCCCCACCTCAAATACATCTCTTCTTCTTAATGAACCATTATCCTCTCTCCTACAGCCTGGTGTAGCCAATCTACTGTCCTAATCTGTACGAGTCCTGAGAGCCTCCATCACATTCTTCTGTTGTAACCAACCTGTTAAATCCTTCCTTTCTTACCTCTTTTATTATAGCCATTTCCCTTCCACAAACTTTCCAATGGCTCTTGGCTTGCTTCTGCCTCTGAATTTGCTTGTTCCTGTCTGAACACTCTGCACAGGGGGTTGGACTGGATGACCTCCTGAGACCCTGTCCAACCTTAATTTTCTATGATGTCTATGACTCCTAACAGTTACCTGATTTTCCCTACAGCCCATTTGAACCTCACTGTGTCAGGCTCCAGACACGCTGTCAGAAAAGTCTGCTTGGTTGCTGCTTCCCCTGTGATTTGGAGCAGGGCAAGAAAGTACGTGGAGCTTCTGCAGTCAAACGAAATGGATGCGATTTCAAACCAAGTACATGAATGAGACCCCACTGACTGTACTGTGCACAAATCAATCTGGTAGAGGAAAGCCATCCACAATGGCACACGCTTCAGCATAACCTCCCAATGATGAACTCAGACAACTACCACTTTTTTCCAAAACAACAAGGTGATTTTATAGATCCAAATTTAAAAGGTAAAATGTCCTGTGATTTTAATGAGAAATGTTTCCTTCAATGAGGAAGCGTGACTTCAGGCACCGAGCTCTGCAGCAGAAACCAGGAATTCCTAAATGGCTTATCCCAGGTCACTTAAGTGCCTGAGATTCACCATCTGGAAAATAGGAATTAATTCAATTAAATCCCTCATTTCCCTACAACTCTGAAGGGTTGTGGAGGGGGTTCAATAATGTTTGTGAAGAGTTAATTGTTATTCCTTGACAGGTCTCTATAGCACAGGTGAGCACTAAAAAGAAAATTAAGGCAGATTTTGGATTCAGTCCCAAGGCATCTGTTGCCAAATTGACAAAGGGTGAAGGGCCAAAGGAACAAGACTGCATCAAGGCTCTTCACCCTGTTGGGTCCCAGCAAAGATGCATGGACTGGTGGGGCAGAGTCAATCGCACAGCAACCGGGCAGGATCCTCTGACTGAAAAACACTGAAGCAAGGGCATAAAACACTGGCCATATTTCCAGCCTAGAGCCTGCCAAAGGTTTATTCACAGCTGGGATGGGAGCCGGAAAGAAGCTGCTCATGAGTTGTGGGACAGGTTGAATTCCTTTCCCTTCTTTGGCCACAGACAGGTGTTATATTTGTAGCATTAAAGATGCTCCTGCAGCTCTACCAGAAGTAAGCGGACAATCATTCTGGCTGTGTGTAGCACTACGAAGATGATGAAAGCATCACAAAATAGCACCCCTTTCAAAGAGAACCTTCTTGGTTTTGTAGCCCTACGTGGCGAGAGGCTTTGCAGCTCTACAAAGAAACAGCTGTCCATACCCTTATTCAGGTTGTGTGCGGTAAGGGAGGATTTTTTTTTTCCCCAAAATACACAAAGCAAGCTAAAAGACACCAAGCTTTTTTTTTTTTTTTAAAGATAAAAGATGAATAAGGGATTTGCAATGCTCTCCCAATGCACTTTTGCTTTCAGAAGTAACAACCACACCTCCAGGTGTCCTGAAATCTGAAATTTTCATTCCCGATTTGAAAACCATTGGTTTGTCACCGAAACATGGTGATTCACCTCATAACATTTCATACTTTGCTCCATAATCTACTTTCCACGTGGAGAGAGACCCAGTTTGTTGCATGTTCGGCACATACTGTAGATGCTTTTATTTATTGGGGGAAAAAAAAAACATTTGCTAGGGAAAGTACATCAAGATTTATTGTCTACAGTGCCAATCTGGAGCAGGAACAGAGATGAAGTGTTTACTGCAGATAGTTCCATTCCAATAATAAAACAATTTAAATGTATCCTTTTGAAGATGAAAACCAAAAAAAACAACAACCCCTACATATGCACAAAATGCACGGTCATAAAGTGTAATGAAATCAGCAAAGACAAAATAAAACAAAAACAATGCTGAAAGGAAAGGAAGTCCAGTGGAAGAGCCCAAGTAGCACTTCAGCCGTGATGACCGACAGATGGACAGCACTTGGGGACATGTGGCGAGTAAAAATGCTCTGTTTTACAGGCAGAGGCTGTGCCAGGGATGTGCGCCGTGTACTCCAACCCGCCTGGGCAGAGCATGTTTCAGCTGGCCTGAGTAAAAGCCAGGGGAGGAAAAGTGCCATAGAATCTTCCCTTATGCTTTGGCATTACACCTTCTCCATAAAATGTCGTCTAACTGAAACTAATGACCGGAGGAGTTTCAGAAATAATTTTCTGTTGATCTGGAGTAAATTCCCTACATGAGAGCAGTACATCCAATCACAAACTGTCCGTCTACATCCAGGCCCTCATAAATCAGAGTTTACCGAGAGAGAGGAAGATACTGAAATTTACAATGAGAGCAACGGGCAATTTACCAGAGCAGGCTGCCTGCCTTGCAACCCCCTCCCCGGTTCGCTCTCCTTCCGTGAGCCAGAATTAAGAAAAACTCACAGTAAATGATACCAATGAGCAGAAGCGATGGAGTAGTGCCTTCCTAAGCACTCTTACATCTCCAAGCAGCATTGTATAAAGCCTGGGGCCATTCGGAGAAATGAATGATTTTGCTGCCCCTTTCTCCCAGCTCTAATGCAAGGTACACCATTAAGGGGGAACTTTTTCTTTCTTATAAACCTTGCCTGGCATGTTTTTCCTATGTCTGTATTCCCTCATAAACAATAGGGCTTTCTGAGTTCGGTCTTTCTAAAACGATTTGCCCCGTGTACAAAATAGCCCATCATGTTCCAAGTCGTTCTGAGAGATGGCAGCCTGTCTCTATCAGACCAGTTTTGCAGTAGCACATGTACTGTGATTTGCTGTGTGGATTGCTAACTGCAGTGTTAACCTGAAGGTGTTATCAGAGCAACCCTGAAAGCATTTAATAATAATAATAGTAATAATAGTAGTAGTAATAATAATAATAATTCTGTATTTGCACAGAATTTCTCATTCTGAAAAAACCCAGAATACTTTTACAAACTTTGCGGAGTCCAGATGCTAGGCCTAGATATTAAAGTGATGGGAGTACTGAAAATGTCATAGACTAGACTAGAACACCAAAAAAATCACTCCTGGCTCAATAGCAAACATGCAACTACTTGCGGGTTAGAAGAGGGCAACACTTTAACCGGACCCACAGTATAACAGAAATGAGCTTGACAGGATCCAAGGAAGACTCTGATGTCCATTTGAAGGGACTGGGTGAATTAGATATAATGAACACGGCTACAAGTCAGCTCAAGTGCCCAGCACATTGAGAGTCAATGTGGCTACAGTTATAAATCACAAGCTAAATGATTTGTTTACAAATGTCACTTTTATACTTTAGGCAAATCCATCTACCTTTTAAAGTAGTAAATAGTGAAGGTAATACTTAAGTTAATATCTAACATCTAAGTTAACATCCTAGTCCGAGCTTTTGAACCTTTAGTCCTAAAAGTAACCACCTAAAATCATATTCGGTATCTAAGTAAGTGTCCACCTATTAAGAGATATCAAGTCTTTACAGATCCCTTGTGACTTCAGTGGCAGCTGCTAGCACTCAGCATTTCTAAATGCCACTTATTTAGGTGTCTAAATATGGAATCAGGTGCTTCCAGTTAGGCACCCAGCTTTAAAGATTTACTGAGTCTATATGCTTCTGCCATCCAAAGCCATCAATTTTCATACCCAAACCACTGAAATCAATGCAGTGAGCAATATTTCAGGAAAGTTACTCCAGTACAAAGGAACAGGTATGCGATGTGCATGGAGACAGAGACAGCATGGGAGGCTCGTGCAGACAAGCTGCATGCTCGAGTTGATTGGAAAACATTGCTGGTTCCAGATGCTGTTAGAATAAGCAGTTACCTTCGAGTCAAAACAGTTTCTGTAATTGTGTTGGTTTCACGAGAATTTTATTTCAGAGTGGAACCGGAAAAACCCTTGGCAATGAGTCAAATATACTGACTCATCATTTCTAGAACAAAAGAGTTTGATTTTCCATTTTCCAATAACAATTTTGAAAACGAACAGAACTCTTGGCAATTTTCTCAAATAACCCTAAATGATGCCCCCCCCGCCCAGTTTTACTTTGAACAGAATTTTGACATTTGGAGGGGAGTGAGGGGTTGGGGGTAAATTGTCCAGTTCAGAAGGAAAACAGCCTTTGAAATCTCAGACTCTTGCATGAAACAACGTCCCTCCTCTGCACAGAGTCACTGCACATTTTAAATGTCTCTAATACTTTCCATCTGCAGGCAACGGGGTCTCCTTGTGCCAGACTCTCTTCCACCTACTAGATGTTTAAGTAGACTTAGGCACTGAAGTGCAGTTGTATTTGTCCCTGTTCAAGTCCACTAATGCATCCACTTTTGTGACACAGACGTCTGTAAGAATGAGTCACACAGCAGTGAGGAGGAGGACCCACACACCTTTTGTATTAACCATACATCAAGGACTCGAGGAGGGAGTCTATTTATACTCCTAATAGTTGGACTGGAACCTGGCCTTTTGTAGACAAGTAGTGGGAACATTGTCAAGCATGAATTATCCTGGACAAAAATGTGTGCCTGATGTTTCAACCAGGTTGACACACAGTATATGAATACATGGCGAGGAAAGGTCAAGAGGAAAGCTCAGGAAAGAGCCCGCAGTGGGAAGCTGTGTTGTTAGCACGGCGCGGTCCACATTCAAAGACAACAGTCCAATACTTCTGTCAAATGAGAAGGCAAATCCATAGATGAAGGACTTGGCTAACTTGTTTTTTGGTCTTAGTTGTAACCTTTTAGTGCTGCCAATCAGGATTTTGTAGTTGTAAATCTGGCATCTGGAAATCCTGACCTTTGGCACAAGGATCAAACGTAGTCTCAAAAGTTTCAGAAATCTAGTAATGCAGGTGGAGCTAACGGGTGATTTAACAAGCTTGAAGACCCAGTGGGGAGTTGATTTCTAATACAGGCTGTATTTTCAGTGGCCACCATCATGGGCTGGTAGTAACTGGACCTGTACCTTCTGTAATATGCCCCCATTGACATTTCAATTACCCTAAAGAGGAAGAAAGCAGCCTGCATTGTCAGTAGGCGCTTCTCCTAAATGCTCTATTATCCAGTCATTTTTGCACTGCAACGATACATTCCCCCTACACATTTTTTCCCCAAAAGGATAACAGATGATACTTGCCTGTAATGATGCCATTTTTCTCTACAGGTTCTTGCCAGCTGACCTTGAGAGACGTGTCCAGAATCTCAGTGAAGCTCAAGTGTCCCACAGCTCCTGGCTCTGGCAATCAGAATGGGAAATCTGTTAACAGGAGAACCCCACTAACTTTTGATCTGATTCACGTGGCAAGGTTAGGCCTGAAGAAATAAAACACTGAGCTGAAGCCAATGGAAACCTGCGGGAAATATCAGTAAGAGCTGCAGGGAGGAAGGGAGATGCAAGGTGTTTAGAATCACTCTGGCTATCATCACAGAAATTATTTTATCCAGTCCTCATCCTGACTGGGCAAAGCAGGATAGACTGGCAGCAGGAGATTTACACCACACTTGTTCTCAGCCTCTCTTCTTGATCTAATCTAATTAGAACAATCAAGCTGGCTCGATCCTGAAAAGCAATTGCATTTGTTGTTCTCCCTCAACCCTACCAGGCAGCCTACTGCTTTCCTTGTGCCTTTGCAAAGAGCGATCACGTCTTTTGTCTGCAAGAGCAGTACATGCTGCACACTCATTTGGGCAGGGACTTTTAACTTTGCATGATCAAACCAAGGTCAGACTGATGCAGCCAGTGTTCAGATAAACCCTCTTCAAACAAATCGAAAAACTGCCAAGCACGATGGCAATGATCTTCTGTGAAATGCGTAGACCTGTGTGAAACTTTGAACGTATCTTTATGGCGTAGCTCAAGAGCTCCTAAAAATTTCAGTTCCCTGGTGTACAATGAAAGAGTATAAAATGGAACGACTGGCAAAAATGTGCCTTCCTCCCTCGATTTTGATCTTCAAGGAAGACGCCTTGGCTGGTTTCTGATCCAACGGCTGTTCTCTCTCCAAGTGATGCACTGGAAAGGGAAGTTTTTGCTCACTTTGTATTCACAGTGCTCCTGTTACCTGGATCCTTGCCTGAGTCTGCTCTCCTCTAGCTCTACTGACATCAGTTGGCAATTTCTGGGCTGCAAATTCAAATTTGTTTCCACTTCACTTTAGTCTACTGTCTTACTTTCCTCCACCTACAGTATAGCAAGCCTGCCAGTAGGCTGGCTACAGCCACATCTGTGATTCTGCAGTCTCAGCGAGGAGAAACCTATGAGGCCGTTCTGCAATATGCAGTAGTTAATGCACAATACAGAGAGCTGCTAATCTGGTTCAGCATTCAGGAGTGCATATCTGCCGTGGGAGTAATCTCTCCACCCACAAAGTGCTGCCTTTGCAGTCCAATATTCATTTTATTGTCAAATTTTAAAAAGAGAATATTGTTTACGCTGAGCCACCAAAGCTCATCTCTCATTGGCTGTCAGAGCATGTTTGATCTACAAACGATCGGCAACCCGATTTTATTTAGAATCATCTAGAATCGTTGTAAACAAAGGCAGAAAGTAACCATCTGTTAGCAAAGGTCTGGAAGGATCACATACATTGTAGATTTATCTTGTCTACTATTCAGCTGTGGTTAGTAAAACCTGAAATAAAATCCCAACAGTTCAAAAAAACTAGGTCTTGGAGCCACTCCTTTGATTCAGAGCGTCCTCCTCAAAGATACATCTAGTATGTAGAAGCATTCCAGGATACTGCTTATTTTTTCCAAGCTATGGTAATACAAAGGGAAACTGTGTTTTGAACAGTATTTACACAATTCATGCTATGTGTACAGTGTTAAGCAAATATAATAATTGTTCCTTCTTGTCTTTGTGCTTTAATCATTGGGTAAACACTTATGAGGTTAGATTATTGTCTCACAGGGTGCATCCACACATGAAATCAGTGTGCATGAATAAATTCTGGTACAGTCCATGCTGGAGTTCATTGCTCCTGGGTGCAATATTTACCTGTGTGCCTGGGACTGCAGCACGTTGAGCCAGGGCAGCGCAGCCCCAGCTGGCAGGGGGCTCAGGGAGTCAGCCTACCAGCCCAGAGCTGCTCTGCCCCAGTTCAACATGCTATGGAGGAATGGGATGGGGCATGAGGGTGCTCCAGTGCAGGGCTAGCTGGCAGGCACTGTAGCTCCCTTGTTTTCCAGCAAGCCCACGTGCATTGCAGCATGCTAAATAACTCTGCTGTAGGACAGTACTTGTGTCAGGAAGTACTAACCTATGGCAGAGTTAATAAGTTTACTCCAGCCTAATAGCACCGCGTGTGTAGACAGTGACACTTTACTGCAGAGCTAATGAGTCAACTCCACAGTAAAGCACATGTGTAGATGCCCCCACAGATTTCTAATGATCATATTGCCGTCTCAGTGATCTGCTAAGAAATTGATGTTCTAGGCACAGGAAATCTGCTCCTTGAGCAAAGAAGGCATCATAGGGTCTAACATATGGACAAGATAGACCTTGGAGAAAAATCCATGGATGACCATTTCATTTTTCTGAATGGGCTTTTTCCCCCCAAGATTCACCCAGTGGACAAGTTAGGCAGTCTTTAGCAGGTTACTTCTCGAATGACCATGCAGTCCACAAACAGATTCATCTTTGCAGAAACAACAACTATGATAACTTACTGGGTACCACAAACAGCAAAATATTATTCCTAAAAAACTTGCCTGTCTCTGTTAACCACTTTTTCTCATTTAAACATAAGCATGGTGTTCAGTGAGGGGAAGGAGAATAAAAGCACCTTTTGGAGTCAAGATTATTGTAAACAGATGATAGGCCAGGCCACCTTCACACAGCTTTGCCACTGTAATTTCATCTTGATCTGCAACAAAGCCATGCTAGACATGTTGGCCCCAAGCTTCTCCTGAACAACCATCTTCAAAAGAACCTGGCTGGGCAAGATGCATAGATTTTTTTTTCAATGCACCACTGGTTTACCAAACTCATCCTAATTTATTGCTATAGATTTGAGTCCAATTTGGCAGTCTGAAAGGCTACAGCATTGTTCCGATTCTAATACTTTTAACATGCCAAAAAATGCTAATTGTATAAATCATTGCAATATGCAAATAAACATGTTTGCAGGGTACTTACTGGGGTGGGGGACATATTGGGGCAGCTAAAATTAGTCTCCTTAAGCCATATTCAGGTATCTAAACTCTTAAAGAGACCAGACTGATTTTTAAAAGTGCTGGACACTTGTATCTCTCATTGACTTCAGCTGGTGGCTCAGTGTCTCTGATAATCAAGTCACGTTTATGTTGCCCATATAGACAAATTTGGGAGCTTAATGTGAAATGCCCAGGTTTGCAAATCTCAGCCATCACTTCCAACAGAGCAGTCTTCAAGCACTGCAGCTCCCTGAAAGCTGAGCTGCCGTGGTACTTACTGTCTTCGAGAGTGTGCAGCAGCTGCGGTGTGCTCTGTGGTCCATCCCCTGGGGTGGTGAAACACAGGACTGATGTATAATAAGCTGTGAATTTCTTCAAATTGGTAATGCAGCCACTGTGAACTCCATGAAAATCCGGAGCGATGGTGACCACAGTCACAGTCTCTGGTGCATCTACCAGCCATGCTAGGAGCTAGATAATGTAAAGAGAGAAGAAAGCTCATTAGACATTATTTTCATTCACAGTTTCATACAGCTGATGGCCAGCACCTCATTAATTTAACTGTAAAAATACAACATTAAACAACTGTCAGCTCTGTCACTGAACATACTGATATAATGTTTTGACTATGTTCATGGGAGGGATTTGTATAGTATTTGAACCTATACAAAAAGAATACAAAACATGCTTTAGAAATGGCAACCAGCATTTTTTCACCTGGATGCCAAAGTTTAGCCTGCTAAATTCATATCCATGCACACACCAAACCAGCTTGTCAAAGACTCTCAGCACTTAGAGCTCCCAATGACCTCAATGGGTTTTCTGGCAGCGCGACCTTTTTGAAAATCAGGACACTTCTCTACAGGTACTTAAGCATGGCCTTCAGCCCTTGACTTCTGGCACTCTGATTTGAAAACGCGGAGTGAAAATTTTAAAAGCACCATCGTGGTTTTAAATTACATCAGCCTTTTAGAGATGTGTCCCGTTGGCTGCAAAGCATTAGCCCTCGAAATAAGAATGACTTCCACTGCGGTTGATGTTCCTAGGTTTTCCTTTAACTATTCCTCCCCTCTGAAAGTCAGGCAACATGAATAAACATAGAGAGATGCCTAAAATGACCCAAACGTAAAAAAAATTAGCCAGTTTTCAGCTCCAGGTATTCAAAATATGTGTTTAGTTAAGACTATAGGGAGTAATTTTCACCTGAATGTTCTGTTTCTGAGACAGATGAAATGGCATGCTTTACAGCTGCCTCGAATTTAAATGTGTTTCAAAGATAAGAACAACATTAATAATGGCTAAAGCTAATATAAATTTGCTTCTCCTTTCCAAGTTATATCTGTGGAATAGTATGGAAACTGAATGCTAACGGTGGTTGCGCTGCTCTTGCTGGAGAGTGGCCCATTGCATATTACTCAGAAAATATACCAACAAAATAAAAGCCAGCACTTCTGCCAGTGAAAGATATAATAGGTGTAACCCTTTGGAAAAGCAGATACTTGGCTGACTACTAGTAGTTTATAACCCATTAAAAAATTATGCAGTACATGAACGTGCGACAGAAATATTCTCCCCGAGCTATTCACAGTGCAATTCAGAATTCCCATGTGAAGCATGAGCTGCAAAGCTACTGCAACTGGAAACGGTTAAAGAAATCCAGACAAAGAAAATATTGATAGTTTCAGGGAAGTTGTCAGTGCCCACTGGGAAATATAGATCGGGCTTTTAGTGTCTATGTACAATTGCGAAAGAAACTGCAACTTAATTTGCTGTGCAAATCCGTGCAGTAAAGCTCTTCAAAACTCTGGCCCAAAATGTGGAATTTGGTGCAGACAAAGCTTTTGAATGAAACAAGAGCAAAGAATTTAAAAGACGGGCTCCGCAATGTTGGTTGTGCTCCTCCTGCTTGGACATTCACCAGATGCTGTGTCAGGTCTCAGTCCACTTGGCCGTGCTGAATCTGAACACAGCCCAGGCATGGTGCCTGCCTTATAGCCTCTAGGAATATTCCTGAAATGCAGATCCTCTAACAACCCATCCTAAGAGCTGGAACATGTGGTCCAACTGCCATCCCTCACACCTAATGCTGTCCCCCTCTGACAGCCAGGGTTTAAACATACCTGCTCCCAGAACCGCAGACATTTGGGTATGTCAGCTACATTTTAACTCCAGGGCTACAACACAATGAGAGAACGTGCACACATATGCACGCATGCTCGCACACACAGATGCTACACAGCCTGCCTGAAACCACTGCTGCTCTTTGCTTAACAATTTGAGAAAGACACAGATCTAGCCAAAAATAAACCCTGTATTCAATTCCTTTGCTTCAGTTTCTCCAATGCTGTGGGACATAATATAGTCTGGGATCAGATCCTCAGAGGCAGTCCAAGATCCTTCTTTCTGGCATATGTTTTGTCTTCTGAACCGCAGTGGCAAGTCAGTTCAGCTTACTTTCTCTGACCTTGGTTGGGGCCACAGCTACATCAGGCCCTTCGTGGACTCCTGTATCATTCCCTCTACACCTGTGCATTTCTGTGACGATTCTCCATTCATTTCTTCTGGGACTCCTTTTTACAACCCTCCTTTGACTTGCTTGTCCTTCTGCTCTGCTTGGGGAACTTCGACCCTCCAAATCCCTTCCAGAGCAGTAAGAATTATTTGGTTCTTTCAGATCTAGTTATCTTTTTAGCACATCTGTTGCTGGTCCTCGAAGCTAAGCTCTCTCTACACTCCCTGTTCTGGTGAATATGTGCTAGAAGTTGTTAGCAGGGGCGAATACAGAGAGGTATTTCACAATACAGCAATATTAAGACTGTAACAGCAACTGGAATTCCTACACTATACATAGATATATCCCCAAATCACCACCATTGTATGGTAAAGAAAGTATTTTGGATGAACTCCCAACCCCCTTAAAATCAGCAGGAGATTCACCTTTGCATAAATTGCAATGTAGTGAACAAATTTTCAAAGGCACAAAGGTCAGTTATACTTACTCAACTTCCACTGATTTTCCCTAACTTGAGCCATTGAAAATCATCACCCTAACATCGAAGGGCTTGTAACACATCAAATGTTCCTTTCCTTTGCAGCAAGCACTGATACAATCAGGAGAGCTTGCATTTGGGGCAGCGACAGCTCACTAAATTCAGTGTACATCTCCTTCAGAATGTATTACGGATGTGAGACAACATCTTTGCTACACAATAAGTGTGGAGATACTCCATCAGGCAGGAACAGTCTACCTATTACAAACCCAGGAAGCTAAATTGCCTTGATTCAAATCTGGCTTCCATTTACCTTGTATCCCTGATTGATACCATTGATGAACTGCTGTGGTGGAGGGGTCCACTGAAACTGGATGGTGGTGGAATCCACAGCTTCAGACTGCACGTTCTGCGGTGGAGCCGTCGGCACTGCTCAAAGTCAGCCGGGAGGAAAACAAAATACAATAGATTAAGGGTGGGGTGGGGTGGGGGTGGGAAGGAGAAGGGAAGATGAATAGAGACACCTTTAGCTGCCACTCACGAGTCTCAGAAAATAACAGCACTAAGAAAAGGGGTATGTGATTTATGATTTTGGTACCTAGCAGTGACTTAAAAGGAAAGGTAATTGGGTTATTTCTCATTTTCTATTGGAGAGTCTTTTTAATGGGAAGGGGGAGGAGATGAAATGATTCTTGTGACTTATTATTCCACAGATGAGCTTCTCATAGAGACCCGAGACAGAACCTTAGATGATGATAGGTGAATACATCTCTTTCAATTATCCATGGCTGTAAGGGGAATCAATGGTTTCACCAAGAAATTCCTCAAGTCCTTTAAAATCAAACTGTTCTTCTATGCAGTCATGCAAAGATAAAGTGTGCACATAGAGGAATTCTAATTGTGGAATTATAGGTTGGTGGCAGCACCTGTTTATCATTTACTGTTGTGAAAAACATATTTTTATGAGCAAGTATTACCATGTGGGTTATAGCTTAATCCCTGGAATAAATGGTTTTTTGCTCATTTGCTTTTTCCATCTTGATATGCTATTTATTCATACAATATATGCATATTGAACCAGTATGTCCCAAGGCCTGTGGAGAAGCCAGCAAAAACACCATGGGTGCATCCACGTGTGCCGATTTAAGGCAATTTAGCCCAATTTAAGGTACATTAAGGATGCACGTCTACACGTCCACGCCCTTAATGCACCTTAAAAATGGCAATTTTAGGCCACCCGCACCTAAATGTGATACCTGCAAAAGCGCATATCCAATTTAGGCGTGAATAGCTAAAGCACGTTAATACACGTGTAGATGCGTTAAGGTTCATTAACACTGTGTATGGACTGACTTGGGACTAACTTTAGTCCCATGTCAGTGTGCGCACATGGCCTTAATGAGCTTTAATGCATGCACGTGTAGATATGAGCCTAAATCGCCTTAATGTGCATTAAACTAATGTGTGTTAAATTGAGGTGTTCCTAAACGCACATGTAGACACACCCCATGTGACACAAATATTTATTCAGTTTTCCACCATGGATGAAAACCAGAGAATCCAGACCTATAGCAGGTTTTAAAGTTCTCAGCACCCCCAAAAATATTTCAACCTTTAATGCACTGGCTCTTTAAATACCTTGCCAAGGGTCTGTTCTGCTCCTTGTTTTTAGAGAATCACTGGTGGAAGAGGTGAAAATGGAAGTACTAATGGCTGTGCTGCTTTCTCTGACCCAATTACTGCAATTTTTTGTACTAGGAAGCTGGTATTTGAGCATAAATAAGATGACAATATCCTTCTACCTCTGGAAAAGAAGCTGAATCAAGCTTCAAAGATATTACTGTTGCCAGCCATGTACACTTCTAGTCTATCCACAAGTGAACAAAACACATGTCAAGAATTCCTCTGGGTTCAAATGGAAACTTTCCACTGAAAGCTAAAGTCTCCGGTTGCAGGGAAGTACCCACCGTTCCCTGTGCCCAGCGGGATTTGTGGTTACCTCGTGCCTTCCAAAAGTGGTCATAAACTTTTAAAGCTTAAAAGTGACTGGGAAAAGCCTCCTTCTCGGGAGGACCTAAATACATGAGAAGCCATCGTAAGTTTTTAAAGAGTGCAAAGATCTATTTGTCCACCAGAAGCTACAATCACTGGAAATAAACAGAGGGGGTCATGTCCACAGCGGCAATGAAACCAGCAGAGCTATGCAAAGATATACCGGTCCACTAACAAATTTAACGCAGAAACCCGTGAAACAGGCAAAGCGTTTCAGGGTTAATGAAACCATTAAGCATTGCTTGCGGATTCATCCCCACGTCACTGAAACTCCTGGATATGGCCTGCAATTTCAGTTATGCGTATCATTTGTTTCTACAAATCTTTTAAAAGCACATCACCGTTATTATCCCAAATGCCACAAATCTACACCAAAATCTGATGCTACAGCTCATGGATTAGACATATATAATTAGAGAGTGCTGGAGTCAGGATTTATCTTGTGCTGCTCTAAATTCCAACAGGGAGTGGGAAATTATTTTCTCCCGTGTATCATCATGCCCAGCATATGTTAATCAGGGTTATAATGTTAGCATAGTCATCTGCTAACATTATAAAAGTTCTTGGGGTCTGGAGAGTCAGAAGAACATTTCAATAGTACTACACGCTGATAATGAATAGCTTATACTACATTACTCTCATAAACAAGCCTCTTCTTATCAAGAGGCTTTGATGAAATCCATTTGTCATGTCCTCAGAGCTCGGAGTTGTGTGTAGGGTTGCTTTCCTGTGTAGTTTCTCTATTTGATGGCTAACACTAGAAACGTTTAATGGGAAAAATCCCTGCATCCCTGCATATTTGTATATTTATTATGGCTCTTTATTTTTGTGCCAGAGATTTTCTATTTCAGGAAGAAACGATCAAAAGATTTTTTATGCTTAGGTTCATTTTACAGAGTGATGAGGAACCCTTCCTGTGCAGGATCTGAACGGGAGGGTTTAATCAGCATAGCATCATATTTCCTCCTTTCCTTCTTCCTCTTTCCATTTCCTTTATTTCCACACTAGCATCCTGTTTGCATATGCTACCCTACTGCCAGGCTGACATTTCTATAAATATAATGTTAGATATAAATGTAATCTGAAAGGCTTTGATTGACAGCTATGTCTCATTTAAATCGGAAAACATCTTCAGGAGCAGTTGTTCAAAGAGTGCAAACATAAGTAAAGGTGACTGAGCACAGCTATACTAGATATATATGACAGTCATATAAACCTATGCCTGAAAGGGCATTCCTACAAAACTTATTCCTAAATCCTTTCTGTGGCCTGAACGTAACCAGCACGCTCTGCTCTGGGGCTTGTTTGGCACAGCCGTTTTTTCAGGGCGAAGCCCTGACACCACTGAAGTCAATGGAAAGAACTGCTGTTGAATTCAATGGGGCCAGGACTTCACCCAGTGGCATTTTAGAAGCAGGGAAATTGGCCTCGTGAAAGCTGTCATATGCCACAGCACTGAAAATTTCCTGTTAGAGATGAAAAACGGCACCAGCAAAATACCGGTTTCCATTTTGAATCTTCACTTCACCTCTGCAGATCCCAGAGAGATACTTGGGAGAGCTTACTAAAGTTTCAGAAATGCAGATAACCAAATATGTTTTCTTCAGTTCTTTTTTGAAATGTGAAATAGTTTTCTTTCATTAGGAGGTAATTTTCTAAAACAAGAATAAATCATTGTAGAGCAAAAAAACCAAACAAACCCCGTTACGGTAAGAAAAATGATGAAAAAACATGACCAGGAAACAAAAGACTTGCTATGCTGGAAATAATTATTTCTATTATAATTCATCTTTGGATTCCTTTATAGAAAAAATCAAAATCTGCATCTTAGTGAATACATTTAAGAGATGGAGAGTACACGGCTGTCTAATATGCAGACACTTAATTTTATTGTAGAGACACAATACAAGCCATTTTTATATTTTTAACTGAAAAAAAAAATTGGCTTTATTACTCCTAAAATTGACTTCACGGTGCCAATGCCAAGTTCCTTCTTTGTGTCTTGATATTACATTCTTCCACAGCATCTGAATGAATTTACATTAAAAACTAAATTGGAGGAGAGCTCAATGTAAGATTTACACTGGATCTGACCTATGGTCCATTCACCACAACACAAATCATCCTTCAAATAAACCAGCAACAAGTTGCTGATGCTGAAACTGGCAACAGAAAATATTTCTAATTGTACATATTATTTAGTTTCTTCTATTCTGTAGTTCTCATTACCGAACAGCAGAAGAACGGACTGATCAATATTTATCGACAAAGAAATCCCTAAGTACGGCTGCACGCTGGCCTTTGAAATGTCTTTTATGGTCGTGTCTGGCACGATAGCTAGCATCTAGCACTACCGGACTACTCCAAATTTTACGTGACATCTTCAGGACTTCCCTGAATTTCAGAGCGTGGCTGGTCTGACAGAACCAACCTTTACATTTCTCCTGGTAAAGTTCACTTGGCTGGAAATGTATTAGAATTCAGCTCCTTCAATTGTAAGTTAATGCATAGCATTCGAAAACTACTTTATGAAGAAAAGGTCATGGAGGCACCGTGGATGAAAGCCAGTAAATGGGATTGGCCGACAAGATAATGGGAAGAAGGGAAGGAATTAAGGATAAGCATGCGTTCGTGTTATTGCTCTGCCTCTAGCTGTATGAATATGCACGGAAACCTTGTGCCAATTCAGCCAGCCAGATGACAAGTTTTAAATGGAAATCTTTAGCGCTGGCTTACAGAAAGATCCCAAGCTCCCGGCCTTCAGGAAGCTGACTTCCACATCTCAATCAAGTAGGCTCACAGCACTACAGGATTTTCACTCTGAGAAATCAGTTGTTCCTTTAACTGGAATTGTTAAGCTGCGTGGCCAGGGTGGGAGCTCGGGGAAGAGCTCTGCCTCGAAGGCAGAATTCTTGCCTTGCAACTCCTGATCCACCCCTTCAAGGAGTGAGTCCTATTCCTGCCCCACAGCTGGCCAGTCCCCTTTGTTTTCTTGTATACCTCGGTAGGTACAAAGAGAGAGCAGCCCCTGCTAGAAAAGGACTGGAGTCGTGGCCCATAAAGGAGAGCAAGGCTCCTTGCTCCCTCCTATCTTGGGAACTCATGGAGCAGGTGCATACCATTTAGCCCCAACATAGGCGACTGGTGCCTCCTGAGTCTGGAGGCGCACCAGCGGGGCACAACTTGGGGGGGAGGTCCCTTGGAGGGGGAAAGTGGCAGGAGGTCCACTGTCGACACTTCCACTGCTGGTGGAGCCAATTTCAGGGGGGGCACTAGCACTCTCCATGCCCCCCTACTAGCCAGAGCACTTGCTGTCATTGGGGCACCAGCACTCTCAGGGGGGAGGGGGGGGCCACATGCCCCCTTGTGTCCCCCCATGCAACGCCTATGAGCCCCAAGCAACTGTTTGTACTACGCAGGCTCCCCTCAAAGGGAAGAGGGTCTGCAGGTCCTCTCCTCTCTATTTAGGCATCTAAGCCTCAGGGGAAATAAGGAAAAATCTACTTTTTATAGATCTACTTCTCAAACAATGCAGAACATAGTGCTTGTTGGGGAGACTCCTGATCCAAGGGCAGCAGCTGCATTCCTTCCTCAGGATTATTTTCTAATTACAGAAGGAAACCCTGCTGGCAAATACTCAGTCAACCGGGACAAATTTCCTTACACTCCTCAGCTGTAGGCCTACAGCATCTCTGTGACTCGCTGAGTGCTGCTGAGAGGAAATCCCTACAGACCTGGTTGAGCACACTTGTATTGCCTTTATCTTCCTCCCCATCATGCCACCAAGACTCACTGATTTGGTGGCTGCTAGCTCTCGCATGCTCAGGAAACACTACTCACTCAACTGCTCCTAGCCTTTATGAACAGCACAGAGGCATCCAAGTCAGCCTCTTAGAGCAAAGAGCTAGGCTAGAAGTGGGGTCAGCAATACAGGTTTCTGTCTTCAGGGCTTCATACAGATGCTAAAATTACAACAGTTATCCTGTGGACAAATTCTGTGGTTTCACAGCCGGGCTGAGAGACAGATTTAGATCTGAAGTTGTGACTTCTAAGGAAGGATGAAAAAACATCACAAGCTGTGAAGAGTGGGAGAAGAAAGCGATGACCTCTTAAGCCAGGCATAGACATTACGCTTTCACTGGTATAAGGGATCAAAAACTGGTCTATACCTGTAACACAGCTGAAGCTCAGCACACACTGATTTTCAAATGGGACTAAGATTCCCCCCTGCCACCGAAGGGTTTCATAGTTTCTCGGCTTGGAAGAGACTTGAACAGATCATCAAGTCCGACCCCCGTGAACGCGCGTTCTGTTCACTACCGATCTAAACCACAAAAACTGCATAACATAAAACTGCATAAAATAGACTGATTCCACCTTGGGCTTTTTGAATGTCTGTAGCTAGCCTTAGTATATGAGTTGTCTGAGCATAAATGAAGCAGCATTTAATTTGGGGAGGAGCTGTCAAAGACAGAACGCCTCCAACGTATAGAAAGTTTAGATCCAAGTGGCAGCAGCAGACTGAAGAGTGGTTCTCTCTCTTTCTCTCCTGATCTAAACACAGAAAGGGGAAAAATGTGGTCACAATCTAGTGGGGAAAGGAAATATCGCCACCACCCAAACAGCTCTGTGTGGTTCTTAAAGAAACACTCTTTTGTGCAGGGGCACTGGCAGCCCCCAGCTCTTCATACACTGAGCAAAGGTCCTGGAGCACATTCTGTTCAAATGAGCAAAAGTTACTCTAAGCAGGAAGCAGGCACAAGCCCCTGTAAAAGGTAACATCAAAGTAAGGAACAGCTGGAGAAGGTCTGATGAAGAAAGGAGTATATATAGACACACCATCAAAGGATTATGCTGAATACCGCTCTGCAAAAGGCCTTTAAGGTTTAGCAACAGGCAAGCCCTCTGCCCTCTGTAGCAGGATGTTCAGTACTTTGCCAATAAGTCTCTCAAAGAACTTAATTGACATTATACAGCTCAGCTGCTGGGTACGCTCCAGTTGGAGGTATTTTACAGGCTTGGTCATGAGTTATTTTGAAAACGCTGTAGATAGCTTTCAGTAGGTCTTTGGGCCACCACTGCTAAATGCCAAAAAGACTAATTAGAGTCTGATCAGATGGCTTCATGGGTAAAAGCACAGGTCATACAAACAATGGAGGTTCACTGGGATGGAAGGTGGAGGGGAAATCAATGTCAATGTGCTGATCCACTCCCAGCACTCATTTCCTGCCAGGGTTTTTGATTGCCTGGCATATCCAATTAATGTCAGCTATTTTAGGTACCTTTTCATCCACAGAAAACAACTTTTGGACAGCACAGCTAAAATCTCCTTGTGTATGTGTGCAGGCGTGTGTGTACAGGCAGGAGGGGACTGGGAGAACAAGCTGCATCGGTGGCAGTTGTCTTTGGCATCTGCTCTAGTTCACTTGATCTTAGCTACAAGACAGAGAAGCAATTACCGTATTAAAACTCTATTATGGTCAGTAAGACCATTTCCACCTACGCTCTGCCTTAAATTCCTAGCCTCCTGCTCTTTTGTTTTAGATGGATTCAACAGCCAGGAACAGACAAGCAGCATGTTCCTACACATCCTCCAACAAACTAAGGCATGTAGCATGGGGCAATGGTACGTGACATATGGAAAACCAATATTGAACCCAGCTTCAATTTAGATTGGAGCTGAGCAGCTTCCTTCCTGTTCAACTCCAAATGTAAAAAGGCTTCAAACACTTTTTAGAGTAGGCTGAATGCCTGAGGCCTTCCACACAAACCTCACCAAGGCATACCCTGAGGGATGACAATGTCCATCATGTAGCTATTCTACTAGTTACCAAATCCTGATATGAAACGAAGGAAAATGTCTAGTTTGTCATCTGGGTGTTTATCTTGCTGGGATCCCTTGACCCCAGCTGACTTCCTGCCCCTGGGGCAGGGGGCTGGACTCAACGATCTTCCGGGGTCCCTTCCAGCCCTGATGTCTATGAATCTATGTTTAACCATATCTAGTAGATAGGAATTACACGAAGATGAACAAGTTACTATAGATTAAACACTTCCGCTGCATCCTAAACACTTCTACGAGTTAATCTGAATGCAAGACTGACTCTGCTTAATTTATAACAGGAGGTATATCCTTATAAATGACAAGAGAGAGCCAATCAATACGGTCTAATAATAATGGTGCGTACTGCCTAGCGACATCAGTCACTGGCGGGGTTAAAGAGAAGGTGTTGGAAGTCAGAAACCTGACCTTAGCAGACAGAGGGTTAAGGTGTTGTGATAACTCAGAAATGTCCAAATAAACAAGGAACATGCAAACCAATACCTAAAAGAAATTTCAAATTCTGAATGCAAGCCAATTCTTTGCAGAGGTGTGGACTTCAGTGAGATATGCCATATTAAGTCCACCTAGTAGCAATCAACATTACAGTATACATTACTAGCTCTGTCAGATGTGTTTTCTAAAAGGGTCAGATGATAGCTAGACTCTCTACCTTGCAAGACTGGATTCTCTGAGATATCACCTGGGCAGTTCCCTTGATCTTTAACTGTCTTGGTAAACTGCGGTGGCACTTGGATTATCTTTTCTAAGAAGCCCTGCTACAACCTGAACTGTAAGAGTGTACTCCTACCAACAATTAGCAAAGTATTTCACACACTTCACAGATAAAGAACTAACTGATGTACTGTAAAATGGTAAGGTTTTTTTTTTAGATAGTTTAGTTGTTTTATGACCTGTAAAACAGAGATCACAAGGCTGTCCAATGCTTGGAATTAAGCATTAGCCTGCGATTCTGGAAATAAGAAGAAAGTCTGAGGGCCTGCTTTGCAATGTGCTGCAGCTTTTTTAATACCAATTTGACAGGGTAAACATGCCTTACAGTGGGTACAAATGTAATTAAAAATCCTTTTGTTACAGAAGTACTAATACGCTCTTTAGAGCACCTGAACATTGCCAGAGAGGTATAAAGGAGCCCTAACGTCACTGAGAATTAGGAGCTGTAATTTCTCTCTGCTCTGGGTAAATGTTTAGATCCCATTTAAAGTTCTCCTTTAAAATCCTCAGTCTCTTGAGAACATGTTTACCTATATATAGGTAAACACACCACAAATCCTCCCGCTGTTTGTTCACTCTTTCAAAAAAACCAGTGGCTACAAAGGATTTGTAGTTCCAATTTGCTCACCTCCTTGTAAAGTGTACTCCATCACCGCTCGGCTGAATGCTCCCAACCCGGCTCCATTATAAGATGCCACCTGGATTTCATACTGAGTCCAGATGATCAGGTCTTTCACCAAACAGTAGTTAATCTCTGCGCTGGTGATGTTCTTATACTGGTACTCCCCAGGGAGGCCTGCCAGGCGATACCTACACACAGGAAGAAAAATTCATTGCAGTCAATTAAATGGCATCAATTATAGCAAATGCACCAACTAGCAAAACAACTTCCTCCGTGAAGAGGCAATATCCAAACTTTTATTGCAGAATTATACAACGGATGATAAAAAAACCCCATCAAAAACAACCAACTCACTCCTGATAAGACCCTACCCTTCTTGACTGTTATGGTATTTATAATCTGATCTCACTGAGATTACATGCTCAGGGCTAAACAAAACTGGTATTTTATCCTGTTTTATGGTTGTAGAAAAATTACAGCTTTTTAAATGTGGCCTGTCTAGTAAAAGCGGTGATTTAGTGCAAAAAATATCCCTGACGTGATTTTTATCAGGGTGCTGCTGCAAATCAGTTTGAGAAATGCTTTCTCTCTCAGCTCCTGAAACCTGAAAAGGGAGAGCTCAGTGGTGTTAAGACCTTCTGGTGTCAGGGCTTACCAAGCTCCGGCCTTCACCAGGAATTCACTTTCACAGCATGATTATAACAAGGACAGAAATAGGGGCTGCTTTGGGACCAAAGGTAATGTTAGGAATGGGAATGAGACAAAGGGCTGTTTGGTGATGACACAAACTTGCAAATAAGGGTTAGCTGCAGATATTCGGCTGAAAAGATGTGGAATGGAAGAATTCAATCCGTGGTTCCCCTGTTGAAGTGGTGGTATGGAAATTGGACTCCCTTTGCGGTGTGTACCTTCACACTCCGGCGAACGACTGAGAGGGTATAATTATGACAGAAAACAACCAGCCCTTGGAAATTTGAGAATTGGAGCAAGCCAGTTTGCTTTTTCCCCTTCAGGATACAAGCTGCACAGTAGATGCTTACAATATGGTAATCAACATATCAGAAATATGTCGCCCAAATAGCAGGCTGACTTGCAAATGAGACATTACCATTCTGTGAAAAGACAAATATGGAAACATTTGGATTCTTATTCATCACATTATTTTTATGCTGTTTTATTTACCCCTTGCTTGAAAATAACCAATTAAGGCTCGGTGATATGATAAAGGTTCACTGATTTGCCTTGCAGCACAATTTTAAATGGTTTCAAGTTAAGCCAGTGCCACTTCCCTATGCATACAAGACCTGGTTCCAACACAGATTTTGGAATAGATGCTTCCTGTAGAGATCTCCAGTGCGGCTCCCGGTCACTGCCTGCATCAGAAAACAGTGCGACTTTCTGCTTTGTATCGCAACGCTACAGCAGCATGGTTGCAGGCCCGCGTGTGAAATGTGAACACAAAATCATGACACACACAGCAAAGCCGTGCGAATATCTCTTCAGATTATAGTGCGTCTCTCTGCCTCCCTTTTAATGTAATACTGGCTTTTCTCTTCCTTGCTGGCGGACGGGAAGGTTGCGTGAGTCTTGGCAATGTCAGCTCTTTGCATAGCACTCCCTGTTTTGTCCCACACGCGTAAGACAAGGCTTGGACTGCTCCCGTGATCTAATCTATTGTGCTCTTGGCATGACACTCCTCTAACCACAACACCGCTGGTGAGAAAAAGGGCAGAGGAAGAAGGCCAATTCAGAAATGTCATGTCCTCCTGATTTATTCTCACCATATACTTTGATGCATACTGTATATGACTTGTGCGGCGTACCTTCACTTCTCAGAGGGGGCGTTTTCTCAGTTTAATATATCCTCTGTGCTGGGATTCTCTGTTGCACTGATAGGGTGACAGGTGGAATATTATACTGGACATTTCCTATATCAAAAGCCACCCCGATACAGAACTATTGTACCCTAACTCCACTGCAACTAAAATTCCTGTAACTCGCACATTTTGATTCCCAAGCAAATGTTGGATGGGAAAGATTTATTTTTATTGGATAATTTTAAATTCCTGTTGAACAAATGGTTTGTTTCTCCACTCAGGAGCCCATATAAAATATTTAAGCAAGTAAAAATGTTTGCAAATTGAGGACAATGGACAAGATAACTTTCTAGTAATTTTGAAAGTGTTGTTACACAGGAGACAGGGATCAACGAAGCTAATTTTCCATGAGCTGCAGATGGAAATGTCTGTATTAAACATCACTGAAAATGTTATATGGAGACAGTAAGATAACAGAACAGGCGGCTTAAGGGTAAGGAGGTACAGAACTGCAGTCTCTGACAGCATTTATGGCCAGACTGGGTACAAATCTATAATGGGAAGTTTAAGAATAAAGAAATCAATCCTGGGTATATCTACACGTGCATTTATACTGGCTTAAATTTACTGTGCAGTAAGTTATTGCACAGTAAATGGGAATAGGCCAGCATCTACATGTGTGGGCATTAAGGCACAACAGTGTTGTATGTGGACTGACTTGGGACTAAAGTTAGTCCCAAGCCAGTCCACACACACAGTGCAACTGTGCAGTAAGATGTCCAAATGTGTGTTAGTGTGCAGTAACTAACTGGGCATAAATTTGATACCCACATGATGCAGGTATCAAATTTACGCTCAAGTCAGCGTAAGTCGCCATATTTACTGTGCAGTATGGGCATGCATGTGTAGATGTACCCCATGAAGAAACAAAGGAATGGACTGGTGGAGCCATTAGAAGCCCCTTTGATCCCAATCATAGATTCATAGATTCATAGATTAAGGGTCGGAAGGGACCTAGTAGATCTTCTAGCCCGACCCCCCGCCAGGGCGGGAGAACAACAAAAACCCCAAAAAGAGAAATGGGACTCAAACGAGTCCAGCTAGGTGGGCATCCAGCCTCTTCTTAAAGACCCCCAGGGTAGGGGCCAGCACCACTTCCCTTGGAAGTTGGTTCCAGCTCCTAGCCGCCCTAACGGTGAAGTAGTTTTTGCGGATGTTCAATCTATACCTCCTCTCCAACAGCTTGTGCCCATTTCTCCTTGTTATGCCAGCGGGCGCTAGGGGAAACAGCGTCTCCCCCAAACCCCTCTGGTCCCCCCTAGTGAGTCTATAGACAGTCACCAGGTCCCCCCTTAGCCTTCTCTTGTGGAGGCTGAATAGGTTCAGGTCCCGCAGTCTCTCACTGTAGAGTCTGCCCTGTTGTCCCTGGATCATGCGGGTGGCCCTCCTCTGGACCCTCTCCATATTGTCCACATCCCTCTTGAACTGGGGCGCACAGAACTGGACACAATACAATAATCGCTCTGCAGCAGTTGTTTTCAAACTTACTTAAGTCATGGAACTGTTTTGGATCACTTTTTCTGCCACACAACCCCTACCCCATCCAAAAGACTGATGCAGAACCAGACAACCCAGCCTGGCAATGGCAGTGCACCACCTCCCGGCCTCCTCCACTGTTACCCTCAGCCCCTCCATGGAACCCCGGACGGCCTATTGCAGAGCCAGCACAGCTAGAAAACCACTGCTGTACAGGGTATCAGCACCTTCCAGACCTGTACCTTAGATTGTTATACATTATCGCATTGCTCCTGGGAGGAAGTATTTTGCTCCTGGATCCTACAAATGCCCATGCCCGTTGGCCAGCTTCAAGTGCCTGTGAAGTATGCTGGGTAAAATGTGCTAACGCTCCCACCCTCCCTCTCAACATCACTGTGTTCAGCTGTATATTAACTGTGGATTGTGACTCATGGGTGCAAATCATTCCAGGGGCAAGCCTATCAGTAGGGCCTGGTTTAAATTGCAGGCCAGCTCGTGAATATTGTGGCCCGATTGTGGTGGGGGCCACCATTCTTGCACCCAGATCATGGCGCCACCTTCCCCCCCGATCGGCTGAGGCGGCAGGCTTAGGGCTTGGTTTAATTGCAGCAGTGGAGGCCTTGCAGGCCAAAGGAAGGGGCAAGAGGTTGCAAAAGGGATAGGGAGAGGAGAGAGCTTGGGGATGGGGAGGGGACAGGAGGGGAGGGGAAGGGCAGTTTGCTCCTTTGGGTGGGAAAACTGGGCTGAAGAGGGTTGGGGGTGCATCCCCTCCCCTACCCAGTACCAGGACCATCTGCCAAGGCAGCCCCCAGGTGCCTTCCCCCCTCTCCACCCCAGTCTTCCTGCCTGGAGAAGCAAACAGTCCCTCCCCTCCCCCTCCCCAAGCTCTCTCCTCCCCTTTTGCAACCCCTTGCCCCTTCCTTTGGCCTGCCAGGTTTTTGCTGCCCACTGGGGAATGCTTTCCTAGCTTGCAGCAGCCACCTTATTGCAACAAAATGGCACAATATGGCCGCTTGCTGGGAAGCTCCCCAGAAAGTGGCCATATTGTGGTATTTTGTTGCAAATCACATTTTTCATGAAAATCACTTCATGTTGTGATTTTCACAAAAAATGCAAAATTGCAATTTAAACCAGGCCCTACCTAGCAGGGTTCATGCTCTCTCACCGGGGGGGGGGG